GGGGGGGAAGTAAAGTAAGCTCAATGATTATTGTTCAGGTAGGTAGGTGTAACAGAATAGCATTAAAATCTTGACAAACCAAATAATGAAAAGTACAAACATAACTACTAGAACAAAACTATACACTCTTTCAAATTTACAAATAAAACTGTAGGCCAGGCATGGTGCCTCATGCCTGCAATCCCAGCACTTTGGCTGGTGGGGGTTGGGGGAGATGGAGAAGGAGAAAGATTGTTTGAGGCCAGGAGTTCCAGACCAGCCTGAGCAAGAGCAAGACCCTGTCTCTACCAAAAAAAAAAAAAAAAAAAAAGAGAGAGAGAGAGAGAAAGAAAAATCTAGCCAGGCATGGTGGTGTACACCTGTTGTCCCAGCTAGCCAGGAGGCTGAGGCAGGAAAACCACTTCAGTTTAGGAGTTTGAGGCTACAGTGAGCTCTGATGATGCTACTACTGCACTCTAGCCTGGGCAACAGAGCAAGACCCTGTCTCAAAAAATAACAATAATACTAATACTAAAATTGAAAATATACCCAACAGAGAAAGAAATATAGCAAATATCACATAATACACATAATTACAAAATAATTTGAGAAAATTAAGCCCAAACATATTGGTGCTATCAATAAATTTGAATATGATTAAATCATCTATTAAAAGAAAAGGGTTTTCAATTTGCTTCCAAAAGGAATATTCAACTATAACTTGACATTCAACTATAACTTGACCCAAAAATCATACCCAAAAAAAAAGTGATTCCAAAAGGCTAAAAATAAAGGGATAGACAAAGAAGGAATACCCAGGCAAAGGGAAACAAGAAGAAAGCAGTGAGAGATATTTCGACATCAGATAAAATACAATTCAAGCCAAAAGGCATTAAATGTGACAAAGAAGGTTATTATTAATGCTCAAAACCACAATCACAATAAAGAAAACAGCTATGCATAATTTCATACCAAATAACCATTTTTCTTTTCTTTTAGAGACACAGTCTAGCTCTGTTGCCCAGGCTGGAATAGCATGGCCTGATCCCAGCTCATGGCAGCCTCGAACACCTAGGCTCAAGTGATCCTCCTGTCTCAGTCTCTGGAGGAACTAGGACTACAGGTGCACGCCACCATGCCTGGCTAATTTTTTTTATTTTTCTGTAGAGACAAGATTTCTGTATGTTGCCCAGGCTGGTCTTGAACTCCTGGCCTGCCTCAAGCTATCTTCCCACCTTAGCCTCCCAAAGTGCTGGGATTAGAGGCATGAGCCATCACACCCAGTCAACAAGTAACCACTTTTATAAAGTAAACACTGCAGGAGATACAAGGAGACAGAGAAAGAAACACACTAACAATAGTAGATTTTAACAAACCACTTCTCACTAAAAGACAGATGAAGTGTGTCTGTGTGTGTATGGAGGGTAGAGAAGAATAAGGAAAGAAGAACATAATGAAATAACAAATAAAGTAGAATTTATATTTCAAACATATCTTTCAAATACATATCTAGTCTGTATTTATCACATAATAGGTCACAAAGAAAACACCGGTGAGTTCCATAAAGTAGAAATATTACAAACATTTAGATTGCAGTGCAATAAATCAAAAATTATTAATAAAATAAAGAAAAGCACCTCACCTGGATAGTAACAAAACCTCTTATTGAACAACTCTTAGTGAAGGAGGGAAAACAAGCTAACTGCATAGTTTCTAAAAAACAAAACCCCACATATCAGAACATATGGGTTACAGTCAATGAAATGATCACAGAAAATTTATAGCACTTAACTCACAGTATTAAACTAAAAACAAATATTATATTATTTATCAACAAACATAAAAATGTGGAAGTGCACTAAGTATCCCTTTTGGGGGAAAAGACTAGAAAAAGCACAACAAAGTAAACAAAAGAAGTACAGGAAGGAAATAATAAAAGAAGGAATAAATGAAGTAAATTATTTTCAAAAAATGGAGACCTAACTACAATAAAAAAACAAAATCCTGGATTTTGTTTATTTATAAAATAAATCATTAGCTAACTTGATCAAGAAAAATAGGGGAAAGTAGAAATTTATAAAATAAGAAATGACAAGGAGGAAATAGTCAATAAAATAGAATATTTAAAATTTCCAAAAAACTAATTTATAGACTCTATGAAATATATTCGAAAACCTGAATGAACCATTTCCTAGGGAAATACAGAATACCAAAATTAAAGATAGAAAGCTTAAAGAGAGTAATTCTTGAACAAATAAACCAGAAATTATAATTAAAGAACCCCATAAAAAGATACCAGGTCCACCATGGTTTCACAGGGTAATCATATCAAACCTTTAACCACATAGTCCCAAGATTCTATAAATTATTACAGACTTCCTAAGTCTTTTTTATAAAACAAGTCAATATCAAGCACTGATACCAAAACCTGAATGAAGACAGTGCCAAAATAAGACAAGAAAACTACTGACTAATATTATTTATGAATAACAGTGCAAAAGTATACTAAATTAAATATTAACAAACAGAATCTAACATCATGTAAGAAATAACATCCCATAACCAAGTGAGAGTGAAATTAATTCTGGGAATACAAGATTGATTCAATATTAGGAAATCTATTAATATACCATGCTAATAGATGTAAGAGAAAAAAAACAACACAGTCATATATTGCTTAACTACAGGGATAAGGTCGAAGAAATGTATCATTAAATGATTTGGTGTTTCTGCAAACATCCAAGAGTATACTTACACAAACCTAGGTGGTTTAGCCTACTACACACCTAGGCTATATGGTATATAGCCTATTGCTCCCAGGCTATGAACTTGTACAGCATGTTACTGTACTGAATACTGTAGGCAACTATAACACAATGGTAAGTATTTGTGCATGTAAACATACCTAAACAGAAAAGGTAATACATTGCACCATGGCTACAATGTCACTAGGTAACAGGAATTTTTCAACTCCATTATAATCTTATGAGACCACAGTGGTATATGTAGTATATCATTAAAACATCATTATTTCCTGAGCGACTGTAATTATCTCCATAGATGTTTAAAAAAAAAAAAAAAGCCTTTGACAAGATGTAACAACCATTCTTGATTTTAAAAAATTCCAAAAAATTACAATTATTGTACTGGACATTTTCTTAAAATGATAAAAATACACACACATGGAGTCCTAAAGCCAGAGATATTTCCACTAAGATCACAAACAAAGGAAAAAATGCCCATTATCTTTAGTACTATTTGACATTGTATTATAAAAATTAGCTAATTCAATTAGACAAGAGAAATCAATTAGAAGCATAAGAATTGGTAAGGAAGAAGTAAGATATCCCTATTTACAGATGACATGGCAGCATACCTGGAAAACCCTAGAGAATCAATGATAAAAACAATAAACTCAAACAGTAAGAGTCCAGGGGCTGTAATCCCAGTGCTTCTGGAGGCTGAGGCAGGAGGACCACTTGAGGCCCGGAGTTTGAGGCCAGCCTAGGCAGCACAGTAAAAGGCCATGTTCCCTAAAACACCCGCAAAAATACCCCTTGAGAAAAAGAACCAGAATTTGCACAAAGGCCAGCTCTCAATATCTAACAAAGATACAGATACAAATACCGCTAACGAAGATTTTTTGCCCCTTTATCTCTCATCCCTTCTTCCCACCTCAAACCTTAAGATTACAAAAGAGAAAGAATAAATGAAGACTAGACCCTACCCCTTCCCACACATTACAGGTTTCAGAGTCTGAGTCAGGCCTAAAATGAGTGGAAGGGAAGAAACATTTTTAATACATGAAAATAAAACTATTAGTACCTGAAAGTAACTAAATAGCTATAGGATCTGACTGAGATTTCATGTTGGAATGAGTTCAAAGAATAGTGGTAGAAAAAATAATTAAGCTATTCCTTGATAATATGCTGAGTCCACCCCATTCTATAAATTAGTTACACACATACACATACATACACAGACACACACATACACACACACACACACACACAAATCAAGGAATCTTCTCACAAATTGTTTTGAGGGACTAGTGTTCCAAAGAACATTTGAGAGGAGTGTATTTTAAAATGTTCTTGCCAAAGAAAGTTTAAGATTAGCCCCAGATATATAATAAAATCAAATCAAAATCAAAATTCATCAAAATTTATTAAACTTAATAAAAATGTATTAAAACAGATCAAAGTCAAAGCAGATCAAAATTCATCGAAGCAGAAAGCATTGGTACCACACTTTCAATCTTTCTAGGAAAGAATTATGACAGTTTCAAAAATGCCTTTTAAGTCATGCGATACTTTAAAAATATACAAAATAAAGGGTAATCCTCAAGGGGGAAAAAGTAGCCACATTTTCTTCCAGTTACACCAAGTATGCATGAGATTATCTCTGAGGGAAATACTGCAATACATTATCTATTATTTAAAAATTGACATGATTTTTCACTTAATAACCCTATGTACATAAAGGGACTTTCTTACCTTTTGAAAGGTACAGCATTTTTGAGAACCACCTCCACCTCAGCAATATTTGCTCTAGCAAGATCTGCCACAGTAAGAAAGCCAGAAGCATAGAGGGCCCTGGCTCGCTGTGCATTAAGTAAGGATACCCGGACCAGGTCGCACAGCTCCCTCTGGATGCCAAATGTAAGACGCTTCTGAAATTGGGAAAGTAGTAGTTCCATGTTGTGCCACCCCAGACGGTTGGAAAATACTGTAATCATCCCTAGAAAATTCATAGAGTATTTTTTAAATTAAAGTTCTTATAGACCAATTCTCGATTTCTTTAGATGTACTTTCTTCTGTCTTGTTTTTTCCTTGCAGAATTGCAAAGTTTAACAAGGCCCAAAGTGTAAATTAATAAGAGAGCAGACATATATCAAGTACTTAGCCTTACTGGATAATAAATATGCTAAACACATTAAATGTCATCTCATTTATTCTTAATCCTGAACTTACCTGAAAACTGAGGCAGAGCACAGTTTAAACTCAAAACAAACTAAAAGCCCTCACCCTAGTTCATTCCTCTCTCTTCCTTATTTTCTTTTTGTAAGGAACAAAGAACTCTTAAAAACAAGTGAGGAAAACAAGAAAGCTTTTTTAAATATTCAAGGGTTCAGAGGACTACAGAGTGGAGTTCCCTTGTTATTTTCTTCGAAAAAGACTGCCCATCTCAATAGCTATACCCTCTTGAAATAAAGAGGCAGAGGAGCCCAGTGCCAAGTCATTAAGAAAGTCACTTCCCTATGAGAGGATCTTTGATGCCACTAAGTTGAAGAGCAAGTTCCTTCCTCTTTACCATCCTCTCCCTCCATCTTCCCCTCAGTGTGCCCTCATAAGCACATACCTTCACAACGAAACCTCTTAAACATATAAATATAAACACTGCCTAGTAGCCCAGAGTTTCCTTCCTAAGGGCTTGTAAGGATTCCTTAGTAAATTCAGACCCAGAATTTCTCCATTTGCCTAGCTTAGGGTTTAATATATTAAGGGAGACCAGTGGTTTCTTAGAAGAGATAATATTTAGAATAGTTAGACAAGAGTTCAGAAATCCCTTTCTATCTGCCATACTCCTTGTCACAAACATGTATTAATCAGTACCTTGATGACAAAAGGGAGACCACTGAGAACTTTGTTTCTTCCTGCGACAGGAAAAAAAAAAAAAGAAAAAGAAAACAGAAAGGAGAGGGACAGCCTGCAGGTTGCTCAGGAATGGCAGGGCAATAAGGTCTAGACATTCAGCTAGTTGCCAGTCCTCTGTAAAATGGTACTAAGCGCTGAGGAGCCAAAGGTTTAGATTTCCTGATGGCAAGAACTACACAAAATTATAGCACTTTTAGAGAGGCCTACAATAAAATGGAATTTGAAAAAAACTTAATTTTATTTTTTATTTTTTTATTTCAGCATATTACGGGAGTACAGATCTTTAGGTTACGTATGTTGCCCTTGCCCTCCCCCTCCGCAAGTCCGAGCTTTAAGCGTGCCCATCCCCCAGATGGTGTGCATTGCACTCTTTGTATATGCATATACCCGTCCCCTCCTCCCCCATCTCCACTGTCCGACATCCAATAAATGTTATTCTTATATGTGCGCTTATGTGTTGATCAGAAAAACTTAATTTTAACTTGACTTCAAACCACAGAGACTTAAATAAATTTGAAACCTTTTGTTTAACTGACCTGCATAAACAGCAGCTGACTGTTGCAAAGATTGAATCTGTCCACGATTGCATCCATATTTCTGATTAATTTCCTTTAAGGGAATTTCACTGATTAAATCTAATAGCACAAGACTGGTGAAAAACCTAAGAATAAATCATCAAAAGTATGGTAAGAAATCATTTATGTCTACTACAAAAGTATAATGTGTATTGAAAATCTAAAAACCAAAAAGGCAACAGAGGGTTTACACACTGTGGGAGGATTCCTAACAGAAAATAGAGTTAGTGGACAAAGACCAAGATAAATATTTGCAAAGCAAGTTTTGACATGCATTAGTACTATAGCAAAGAACTAATGTCTGTGTAACAAAAAAGGTCACCCATATTTTAATACTGCTAACTAATTTCAAGAAATAAGACTTGGTTCAAGAAATGTGCCAGCACAAAAATTTAAAAGAAGACCTAATACCTAGTCAAATGATTATCTAATCATTATTTTAGTAAAATGACAGAATCTGATTGTAAAATTCAATTTTGATTTGAAAGGAAACAATGGCACAAATAATGCAAGTACATAAATCCTTATAAAATCTACACTTGACTGTTTTGTAAATAGAAATTAACGCTTGAAGAAAAATAATTTCATTATATTTCAAAGAAGCTAAAAGCATGTACAATTTCCCCACCTTAACCTTTTATTTAGCCCTTCCCTACTGGTAATGAATCACTTCTAAGGATGACACAAAGCATAACAACCAAATGAAGCCGCAGTAAGTTGGCAGTTCTTCTGATTCACACCTTCGTTACTAAAGGGAAGTAATAAATATTCTACTTTAAAAGATCTTTATATTTAATGGCTGCTAAACTATAAGCTGCAGGATGAAACTAAAATATTGATAAATTCAGTAAATACAGAAAATTGAAAAATCTTACTACAGTCAGCCAACTTTTTTATTTTATTGACAATGAAAATGACTACAATAAGATGGACATCTAAAACTATGTTAACACTATTGTTAAATACTGGAGAGTCTGGGAACCTTAATGTTTACCTTTTATGGATGGCCATTTGTCGGTGCTGTCTCTCAGTTCTAGCAACTACTTTTCCTTTCACACAGCGAGCCAAGAACCCTTCTTCAACTCCCACTAGCTCTGCCACCCTTTTCATGGAAGTTGGCAACTTCTCCCATAAACAGAAAAATCGATACCAATCAATAGTAGTCCAATCCTCAAACATAGGTGTAACCTACAGGGAAAAAGTAACAATCATTAGCTAAAACTACTCCACTACAAAAGAACAAAACTATAAATACAAACTTCATATTAGCCAAAAGCCTCAGGATTTAGAAAAATTTCTAACTGTAATAATACCTCATTTATATGGAAACATCATTTATTCACAAACAATTCACTGCTAGGAAAAAGGAAACCACTAAGCATACAAACTAAATTTTACAGAACCCAAGTCTTTTAATCATAGACATTTCAAATATCAACATTCTGACTTTAGATATAATCTTAAGTACTTTATATACTTTCCAAGAAAGAATCAGTAAAATAAAAAGAGGAGGGAGGGAAGAAGCAATATTCGGAGTCAACATATTATATAAAATGTCCAGGATTCAACAAAAAATCATGAGACATACAACAAATAGGAAAGTATGTCCCAAACACAGGTGGAAAAGCAGGCAAAATAAACATCTTTGAGCAGGTCCAGATGTTGGCATAAGCAAAGACTTGAAAGCATGTAAATATGATCAAAGAACAAAAGAAAACCATGCCTAAAGAAGTAAAAGAAGGTATAATGATAATATCTCCTCCAGTAGAGAATATGAATAAAGAGAAGATTATAAAAAAGAGTCAGTTGGAAATTCTACAGTTAAAAAGTACAATAACTAAAATAAACAATTCCCTAGAGAACTCAACAGTATATCTAAGCTGGCATAAGAAAGAATCAGCAAACATGTAGATGGATTGATAGAGACTATGTAATCTGAAAGAGATGAGAGAAAAAGAAGGAAAAATGAACAGAGTCTCAAAGAAATGTGGGAAACATTAAGTATACCAACATATGCATAATGAGAGTACCACAAGAAGATAGAAAGGAATAGAAAAAATATCTTAAGAAATTATGGCTAAAAATGTCCCAAATTTGATGAAAAACATTAATCTACATATCCAAGAAACTCAGTGAACTCTAGGATAAATGTAAAGAGATCCACACCAAGATGCATCATAGTCAAAACAGTAAAAACTAAAGAAAAAAAGAAAATCTTGAAAATAGGAAGAAAAAAAAAGGCATCATATACAAAGAAAACCCAATAAGATTAAGAGCTAACTTCTCATTACAAACAATGGACACCAGAATGCAATGAGATGACATACTCAAACTGCTGAAAGAAAAAGAAAAAAAAAAAAAAACTATCAAATAAGAATCTTATGTAAAGGAGAACTATTTTTTTTTTTCAAAAATAAAGATATAACAGAGACATTCCCAGATAAACAAAAGCTGAGAAAATTTTGCTTGCAAACTTGTCTTATAAAAAATACTAAAGAAATCTCTTTAGGTTGACAGAAAGTGACGCATCCAGTTCAAAGCGCTGTTGAAAGGAAGGGGAAGGGAAAGGGGAAGGGGAAAGGGAAGGGGGAAAGGAAGGGAAGGAAAGGAAGAAGAGAAGAGGTGACCCAAAACAGTATTTCAATTCCACACACAAAAAAACAAAGAGGGCCAATAAAGGTAATCATGTAACATAATTGCATATTTCTCCTTTCTTCTCTTGACTGAGTATAAACAGCAACTGTATAAAACAATTATGCATAAAATTGAATTGCTGAACCTATAACATATAAAAATTGCAATATATTTGACAATAACGGCCCAAAAGAGGCAGGTGGGAGCAAAGCTATATTGTACTAAGAACAAAAGATAGTATCCCAAATCCATAAAAATAAATGGGGGAAAAAAAAACACAATGGTAAATAAGAATGTTAATATAACAAACTCTATAAATATACATTTGCTCTCCTTCTCTCAGCTTCTTTAAAAACATAAAATTACATAAAGTAATAATTATAATCTACTGCTAGAGGTTTGTAACAAGCATAACAATAATGGCACAAAAAAAAGAATAGCACTATACAGGAATAAGGTTTCTATATCTCACTGGAATTAAGTTACTATAAATTTTAAGCTGTACATGGTAATGTCTTGAGTAATAACTAAAACAATAACTCCAAAAAATATAGAGAAAAATTAAAGAAATTAAAATGTCATACAGTCATGTGCCACATAATGACATTTTGGTCAACGATGGACTGCATTTATGATGGTGGTCCCAGATTATAATAGACCTGAAAAATTCCTATCACCTAGTAGCATCCTAATGCCATAGTACACGCATTCCCCTTTCTGTTTAGATATACAAATACTTACCATTGTGTTACAGTTGCCTATAGTATTCAGTATAGTATCATGCTGAACAGGTTTGTAGCCGAGGAGCAACATACTATATCATATAGCCTAAGTGTGTAGTAGAGTATACCATCTATGTTTGTGTAAGTACATTCTATGATGTTTTCACAACAGTGAAATTGCCAAATAATGTATTTCTTAGAATTTATCCCCATTATTAAGTGATACATGGCTATACTAGAAAATATTCCTTTGATTCAAAATAAAGCAATAAAAGAGGTACAGAACAAAAATGACATGAGATATATAGAAAAAGACAAATAGAAAATTGAAAATATAAATCCAATCATATCAATGATAACATTAAATGTGAATGGATTAAATAATCTAATGGTAGAGATAACAGACTGG